ACTGATTACATGACTTGATAATTCAGTACTTTAATACTGAATAATGGACTTGATCTGAACTGAGGAGTCATCAGTTCATAATTAAGTGAATTGTTAGATACTGCTGATTGAGAATTGACACTTTCCTGAAATAAAGTGTTCCACTGATTATACATGATATTAAAATCATACTTCTTGAGCGTACTGGTCATTATCTCCTGGCTGATTGCTGATCTTCGGTCTGAACGTTAGTTGTGGAACCCAAGTCATTGGTACACACGAAAAATTTCAAAGATACGCATATGTACAAATGAGGTCAACTAGCAATCTCGGTAGTTACCTTTCATCAACGTCTGCTTGATAACGCGGCACACCGTTTGCGGCACATTGTATTGCGGCGCACCTGCTCCTCATCAAGTGAGTGCGGCACGCCTGCATACAGCATCTGGCGAACATTGCACCTACGTCGTCGACGTAGTCTGTATAACTGATCATATCTGTATCTCAAGCTAGTAACCTTAATGTACTATAATGCTAACTCTCTGTAATCTCCTGTGTACTGTAACTCAGGCATAGCATCCTTCTTTTATTGCGTCATGCATCCTTGAATGAAAAGCTTCAGTTGGTCATCATGGCATGGTCCGTTGCTGTTGATTGGCCCTTCTTTGTCGCGTTGTATGTCAACATGTAATACCTGCAACTGCTTTCCTTCCCTGAGGTCAAACTTAACCTCAAGAAAAGTCTATCATGAATTAATATCTCCTACGATTTCTCAAATTTTTCAGAATTTGAGAATCGAGGCACTGATTATACTTGAAATGACTGATACGTCTTGTCTTATTAGACAGACTATCTTTGACTTTGGCATAACTAGCCTAAATATTCTCATAACTGGATAACCATGACTTGACTTTTACATGACTGAAACATCTTTGCCTGAATTCTGAAAGCTATCCCGAGACAACTAAATAGTCGCCTCGGAATTGGAAACATGACATTTACTAATTTACTTGACTTGATAAGGTGCGACTTCAAGTTTCCAGGTAAATTTGGACTAATGGTCTGTATATCATACCTCCACGTTTAACCCGGCTGAACAACTATTATACGTCGACCTTAAATCATGAACATTAACTTTAAATCTTGAACATTGACTCATGACTATGTACTGTATAGGGTTGTTCCAGTATCAACTGGTCCCGCAAGTACAAAGGAATTAGCTGATCTTGGTCTTTGAAAACCTTAACTTGAAGTATCCTGACTGACAAAATATATGACATGACTGACTTTAAAGGTTGTGATTATATGAAATCATACTGCTCCGGTCCCAGCTTCAAGCCTCCATGGTATACCCTACTGAGTGGCTCTTATTTCATGCCTCCAAGGTAACCCGGACTATTGACTCTTATACACTAGAAACCGTTACCTTGACAATGACTTGGAAATTATAACAACCTTTAGTATGAAGATTTTCGCCCTGAACATAATTTACTGACCTGACTTAAGAAATTTGAGTCTATTCCTTGAGTTGAATCAAGGAATTCCTCCCTGAAATTTGCAAATAAGTTGGCAAAATTGACAATTTCCGATAGAAAATATCTGAGGAACATGATTGCTAAGATTTGTAAAACACAAGTGCCTACAAATCTCTTGAAGAGTTGTAAACTCGACCTGAATAAATCTAGAATTTAATCTAGAGTTCTCAAATTTAGCCCCTTTCTAAGGTTCTGAATTTTGATTCGAGCATCCTTACTGATGACATCAATGAAGCTGATCAATATAACGCACAAATTTCTTGACGAGTTGCTACACATGACTGGAAAATACTGACATTAAATCCAGAGTATACTGACTACTGATCTTGAACATGATTCGAGCATCTTAACTAAGTCATAACTGAGGATTTTCTGAGATAGACATAGTAATTTGTTTATAATTTAAAAACATGAATCAACACTTACCTGTAGTCGGCAAGGCGTGAGCGTGACGAGTTCAGGTTTTTGAAAATTTCTGACTCGTAAAAATTTTCAGAGACGCAGAAACGTGCTCTGATACCATCTGTAACACCCCGCCTTAACGTGAAAATCAGAGCGCTTTTTTCGCAAAATCTTTGAATAAAAAATATTTAATTTGCGAAATACTAATTCGGAGTGTTACCGTAAAATAATGACTTGTCTTGAAAATAGTTATTTAAAGAAAATAAAACGGTTTAGCGTAATATAAACACCGATTATAAATCGGGTCTGAGTTTGACAAAACAGTAATAAATAGCGGAAAGCATAGTGCGGCCAAAACATGACTAAACATATTTACAAAATTCCTGAACCGAACGCCCGCTCACTCCTCGACTCCGACCCTGTGACCTGAAAAACATGAAAATATGTGGGGCGTGAGCACTAAGCCACTGTGCTCCACAGAAACTCATATTGAAGTAAACAGTGAAAATAATAACAATATCACGATCCTGGCATATATAACTGAACTGATACTGAACTGAAACTGAAACTGATACCGGTACTGAATAATCATGATCTGATACTGATCTCGTGATAATCATCACCTGACTGATA